GGGCCAGCTCAGCCCTGTGTGTGTTTTGGCAGCCGAGCCCGTCTCGGAACAGAAGACAAACTGTGTGGGGCTTGTTGTGTCTGGCTGCTCCTGGCTTTCCCAGGAAAACAGGGATCCCATTCCAGCTTTTTCCCAGTTTGGAAAAATGAGGGGGATGTGGAAGGAAATGGGAGAGTCTGGGAAGCATCTCCAGGGTGGTTTGGGCCTCAGGAATCAGCTCCAGGTTCTTGGAGCCTCGGGAATCGTCTCCAGGTTCTTTGGGATTTGTTGTGTCTGGCTGCTCGTGGCTTTCCCAGCAAAACAAGGATGAAATTCCAGCTTTTTCCCAGTTTGGAAAAGTTGAGAGAGATGAGGAGGGAAATGGAAGAACCTGGGAATCATCTCCAGGTTCTTTGAGCTCTGGGAATCATCTCCAGGTTCTTGGAGCCTTGGGAATCGTCTCCAGGCTCTTTGGGATTTGTTGTGTCTGGCTGCTTGTGGCTTTCCCAGGAAAACAGGGATCACATTCCCAGTTTTCCTCGGAAAGTTGAGAGAGATGAGGAGGGAAATGGAAGAACCTGGGAATCATCTCCAGGTTCTTGGAGCCTTGGGAATCATCTCCAGGCTCCTTGGGATTTGTTGTGTCTGGCTGCTAGTGGCTTTCCCAGGAACACAGGGATCACATTCCCAGTTTGGAAAACTTGAGAGGGATGAGGAGAGAAATGGGAAAGCCTGGGAATGATTTCCAGGTTCTTGGAGCCTTGGGAATCATCTCCAGGCTCCTTGGGATTTGTTGTGTCTGGCTGCTCATGGCTTTCCCAGGAAAACAGGGATCACATTCCCAGTTTTCCTGGGAAAGTTGAGAGAGATGAGGAGGGAAATGGGAGAGCTTGGGAATCATCTCCAGGGTGGTTTGGGCCTCAGGAAGCATCTCCAGGTTCTTGGAGCCTTGGGAATCATCTCCAGGTTCTTTGGGATTTGTTGTGTCTGGCTGCTCGTGGCTTTCCCAGGAACACAGGGATCACATTCCCAGTTTTGAGAGGGATGAGGAGAGAAATGGGAGAGCCTGGGAATCATCTCCAGGTTCTTTGAGCTCTGGGAATCCTCTCCAGGTTCTTGGAGCCTTGGGAATCATCTCCAGGCTTCTTGGGATTTGTTGTGTTTTGCTGCCTGTGGCTTTCCCAGGAAAACGGGGATGAAATTCCAGCTTTTTCCCAGTTTGGAAAACTTGAGAGGGATGAGGAGGGAAATGGGAGAGCCTGGGAATCATCTCCAGGCTCTTGTGTTTGCTGCCTGTGGCTTTCCCAGCAAATCAGGGATGAAATTCCAGTTTTTTCCCAGTTTGGAAAACTTGAGAGGGATGAGGAAGGAAATGGGAGAGTCTGGGAATCATCTCCAGGTTCTTTGAACTCTGGGAATCATCTCCAGGCTCTTTGAGCCTTGGGAATCATCTCCAGGCTCTTGTATGTTGCTGCCCTTGGCTTTCCCAGCAAAACAGGGATAAAACTCCAGCTTTTTCCCAGGATGGAAAAACTGGGAGGGATGAGGTGGGACAGGGAGACCCTGAGAATCATTTCCAGGGTCTCCTGGTGGGGTTTTTTCCAGGGAAAATGCCCCTAATCCCAGTTTTCTTCTGTCCCACAGAGGGAGAAGATGAAAGCTGGCTGCAGCATCGTGGATAAGGCTGAAGGAGGAGGAGGTGAGGATGTGGGAATTCTTAGCCCAGGAATTCTTAGCCCAGGAATTCTTAGCCCAGGAATTCTTAGCCCAGGAATTCTTAGCCCAGGTTAAAGGAGCTCAGGCAGGATTTCATCCAAGGTGGGATGAAGCCACCTGAGGAGGTGGCTCCTCCACGGTGGGAGGGGAATTATCATGTGCCAAGAAATCTCCTCAGGGAGGTTGAATTCCCAAGGATTTGGGATTTCTGAGGTGGGTTCCCTGGATTTGGCTCCGTGGTGGGAATGGGATGGGACTCCCAGAGCTTGGAATTGTGGCTACGAGGATTTGGGGGGGTTGGGGAAAGACATGAAAGGCAAAGAACCCAAAACTTGCTGGGAAACTATTCTGGGAAAGGCAAACTTGGCAGTGATTCCCAAACATCTGCTGGAGCAGGCTCCAAAATCAGGGAAAAGTGGGAGTGGCTGAAGCTCCAGATGCTCCAATCTGGATTGTTCCCCATTTTCCAGCCACCTGGAGCCCAAATTCTAACGTTTTCCAAAGGTTTTGGGCTCCTGTTGTGTTTCTTTCCCTTCCAGTTTTAGTGGTTTTTTGGGAATTTCCCAAGTGGGGGAGGCTGAAAGGAGCAGGCAAGTGAGGAATAGGGTGGGAAAACTGGGATTTGGTGCTTCCAGGTTGGGTTTTTAATGGAATTCCAGCCTTGCTTTGGAGAAATCCACTCTGGAATTCAGTGGTTGGGAGCTCCTCTCACTCTGAATCTTTCACTCATGTTTTTGTGCTCCTTCCCAAGGGAATCACTTCCCAGAGTGGGATAAAAGCTGGATCCAGATCCCACCAGATCCAATGATCCAGAGGTTTTGGGGCTCCTGTTGTGCTTCTTTCCCTTCCAGTTTTAGTGGGTTTTGGGGAATTCCCCAAGTAGGGGAGGCTGAAAGGAGCAGGGAAATGAGGAATAGGGTGGGAAAACTGGGATTTGGTGCTTCCTTTTGCCTGTTCCCGGGGATATCACTTCCCAGAGTGGAATAAAAGCTGATCCAGCTCCAGATCCCACCAGATCCAATGATCCAGAGGTTTTGGGGCTCCTGTTGTGCTTCTTTCCCTTCCAGTTTTAGGGGGATTCTCCAAGTGAGGAAACAAAGGAGCAGGGAAATGAGGAATAGGGTGGGAAAACTGGGATTTGGTGCTTCCATGTTGGGTTTTTATTGGAATTCCAGTCCTGCTGAGGAAAAATCCACCCAGGAGCTCAGCACTTGGGAACTCCTCTCATTGTTTCCCTCCTGGTTTTGTGCCCCTTCCCAAGGGAATCACTTCCCAGAGTGGGATAAAAGCTGGATCCAGCTCCAGATCCCACCAGATCCAATGATCCAAAGCTTTGGGGCTCCTGTTGTGCTTCTTTCCCTTCCAGTTTTAGAGGGATTCTCCAAGTGAGGAAACAAATTAGCAGGGAAAAGAGGAATAGGGTGGGAAAACTGGGATTTGGTGCTTCCAGGTTGGGTTTTTAATGGAATTCCAGCCTTGCTCTGGAAAAATCCACCCAGGAGCTCAACACTTGGGAACTCCTCTCATTGTTTCCCTCCTGGTTTTGTGCCCCTTCCCAAGGGTATCACTTCCCAGAATGGGCTTACAAGACAGAATCCAGCCCGGGTTCCAGACAAATCCAGCTCTGGCATTTCATCCTGGAGCTGCTGCAGAAGGAGGAATTTCGTCACGTCATCGCCTGGCAGCAGGGGGAGTATGGGGAGTTTGTCATCAAGGACCCAGATGAGGTGGCCAGACTGTGGGGTCGGAGGAAATGCAAACCCCAGATGAACTATGACAAGCTGAGCCGGGCCCTGAGGTGAGTTGGGAACTCCTTGGGAGTTGGATCTCAGCCCTTCTCCTTGGAATTGTGCTTGGGAAAAGGGTTGGAGGGTAATTCGAGCCAAGTGGGTGATCTTGTGTCCCTCAGCACCATCTCCAGGGCTTGGAAACCCCTCCAGGGATGGGGACTCCACCCTGGGCAGCCTGGGCCAGGGCCTGACAACCCTTCCCAGGAAGGAATTGTTCCCAGGATCCAACCTCAACCTCCCCTGGGCAACTTGAGGCCCTTTCCTCTTGTCCCATCCCTTGTTCCTGGGGAGCAGAGCCCGACCCCCCTGGCTCCAACCTCCTCTCAGCAGCTGCAGAGCCAGCAGGTCTCCCCTCACCTCCAGCTCCTCCAGCCCCTTCTCCAGCTCCTCCAGCCCCTTCTCCAGCTCCTCCAGCCCCTTCTCCAGCTCCTCCAGCCCCTTCTCCAGCTCCTCCAGCCCCTTCTCCAGCTCCTCCAGCCCCTTCTCCAGCTCCTCCAGCCCCTTCTCCAGCTCCTCCAGCCCCTTCTCCAGCTCCTCCAGCCCCTTCTCCAGCTCCTCCAGCCCCTTCTCCAGCTCCTCCAGCCCCTTCTCCAGCTCCTCCAGCCCCTTCTCCAGCTCCTCCAGCCCCTTCTCCAGCTCCTCCAGCCCCTTCTCCAGCTCCTCCAGCCCTCTAGGAATTCACACCTCTCCTTCAAGCTCTTCACTGTCTCCTTTCCTCCCGGGGACCTTTTCCCATCTCCCTTCCCCTCACTTCCCATCCCAGCTCCTCCCTGGATCCCTGGAGGTGTGGGAGGAGGCCTGAGATGTTCCTCCCTTATCTCTCCATCTCAGAAACCCTTGCAGAGAAACCAACTCCCTTTTCCAACCGAATTCCTTCTTCCCTCTTTCCTTCCAAACCCCCCTCAGGCTCCATCTCATTCCCGAGGTGTTTCCCCAACCTTCATCACACTGATTTTAGTGTCCCCAAGGCCACCAGTGATCCCTTGGGACTTGAGGTTGCACCTCACAACCTTCACTTTTTCCTTTTTGGGGGGGTTATCCCTGTTTTTTTGGGGGGAGATGAGCACAACCCCCCTCTTTGGTGTCCCCATGTCCAGCCTGTCACCTGCAGGAGTGGCTGGGTGGTGGCAATGATCACTCTTGGAACGTGGACTTCGTGGCCTCACACCCTCTTGATACCTCCTGGGTGGAGCCCACAAAGACAAACAAAGCAGCAGCCACCATTCCTGGGCTTGGAACAGGAAGGAAACTCATTAATTGGATGTTAATTGGGATGGAAAACAACCCTCCAGCTGCCACCTCTTGGCATCTCCATCTGGTGGGACATCACTGAGGGCTTCAGAAGTGGTTCCAACCAACTCTGGTGGCTCCTTCTGGTGCTTGTGTGTCCATCCCCCCTCTCTCTTCTCCAAGCACCATGATCCACTTGTCACACCTTTGTTTGTCCACCCGGATTTGGGAGGTTGGGGACAAACAATGATGGGGCAAGAGGGGAGGAGGGGATTAGACCCATGGCCGAGTTCTCCTCCTTCTCCTCCCTCTCCTCCCTTCACTTGGGGTGGGGGAAGGGACATTTGGAGCTGCCAGGGTTGGCTCTGATGATTTAAGGAACCAGTTTTCCCAATTCCCAACTTGTCCAAACACTCCAGGCCATGAACACTTTGGAAAGAAACCAACAAATGGAGGTTAATTTGAAGTCCCTTCTCCTCAGCTCCATCCTGGAGTTGATCTTTCTTCTGCTCCAACCCTTCTCCACCCACACACGAGTTGACCTGGATTTTATTCTCCTCCTCTTCTGGATCTTGTAACATTCCAAGTTTCAGGACATCAATGGCAGGAAAAAGAAAGGGAAGTAGGAGATGTTGGAGAAGGTGGAACCTGTAGGACACTCAGGAGCTTGGCAAGAAAAGATAATTGGCAATTAATCTAATCTTGGAAGGTTCCTTAATTACTGGGGGGACTTCTGAGGTCTGAGGTGGGACCAGAAGGTCCTTGAGGTCCCTTCCAACCTGCCATTCCATGATTCCCTGGATCATCACAGCCCCTGTTGTGTGTTTTGATCCTTGTGGGGTGGTTCTTGGACTCTCCCCCCTCCCTCCCAGCTCATGGGACTGGTCCCAGTTTGGACAGAGGTGAAAACAACACGGAGGGACTTGTTCCTCCTGTTCAGCCCTTCCCTTCAGGATCTCACCTTTCTCAGGGAACAGAAGGACCCATCACATTCTTTGGGATGTGCTGGGAAAGGAGTGGAGGTCGTTTCAAAAGGTCCCCACCCATGAATCTCATCTTGGCAGGTTCCTTAGTTGCTGGTGGGATGTCTTAGGTCTAAGGTTGGACCAGAAGGTCTTCAAGGTCCCTTCCAACCTGGAATTCTGGGATTCCCTGGAGAACCACAATTCCTGGAACAGAATTTCTTTGGGAAACCACTTTTTTTTTTGATGGTGCTCAAAGAAACGAGACCTTTGAAGGCATCACCAGGGGCTTTTACCACTCTTTTGACTTCCCCCCCCAGATACTACTACAACAAGAGGATTCTCCACAAGACAAAAGGCAAGAGGTTCACCTACAAGTTCAACTTCAACAAGCTGGTGATGCCCAACTACCCCTTCATCAACATTCGACCCAATGGTGAGTGGTGGGATGGGCCAAACCTGCTCTCTTGTCACCTCCTGCTCCTGGAAACCTCCACCCAGGGCAACCTCACCTTGGTGGGAACATCTGGAGGGTGATAAAGCCTCATCTGGAGCTGGAGTTTGGCACTGGGGTTGTCTTCTTGGGGACATGTTGGGTTCTTTTTGAGCTTGGTGGGTGCTTTGCTGAGGGGTGGGTGGTCTTGAGGTGAGGGGGTTCCAGGAGGGACCTTGTTTGGTGACACTGGTGGTGCCACAGAAATGTGACCCTCTTGACAAGGTGCATGGGGACTCTGAGGAGCTGTTGGTAGCTCAACAGCAGTTTGTTCCTCTCCCACCTTCTGCCAAGGCCCCTCTTTGGCTCCAACTCAGCTCCTTTTGTACCAAAAAAAGACTTTTTCTGGCACAACTTCTGCCCAAAGTTCAGAGGAACCTCCTAGAGGAGTTTGCAGAGAAGAATCACAGAGTCCTGGTTGGAAAAGAGCTTGAAGATCATGAAGTCCAACCAGAACCCACCTCCACCACCCATTAACTCAGCTCTACCAACCCATACCAACCAAGCTCCACCACCCATTAACCCCCCTCCACCACCCATGATCCCACCTCTCCAGCCCTCAAAAGAACCAGAACTCACCCCAGTTTGACTAAAACCCCAGGAATTTCTCCAGTCTCCCTGTGACAGGACAACATCCTGCTGGGGCAGGAGAACATCCAAGAGCTTGAGAATGGACCACAATTGTTCTCTACTCATCCCAAAAAACCTTTTTGAGTCTCCCAACACCAAGAATTCATCCCAAAATCAACAGCACCATCTGGAATAATCTCCTTTATGGACATGAACCTTTTCTGTAGTGATGAAAACCCCCCCTTAGATAGATGATGTTCTCCAGGACTTCCCAAACCTTCCAATTCCAAAGGAAAAAAAAATCCCAAACCCACCAAACTGCTGGAAATTCTGGAGTGAGTTTGGAAGCAAAACCTTCAGCAGAGTCACTGGAGCTTCTCTTTTTCTCCTCCACTCCTGGAAAAGAGCCTCAGGGGAAGCCTTGAAGATCCATCTGGCAGGGAGAGAAGAAGGGAATTAAATGTTGCCTCCAAGGGGAAAAAAAAAACAACACCACCACCACCCAACAACCCAAGGAGAAAAACAGGTTTCTCTGTGGGCAAAGAACCTTTCTCAGAGCACGTGGAACTTCCCCACCCTTGGCAAATCCCCCTCAAGGTGGGATCCCACCTCGTTTCAGAAGAAACAAACCCCTTCACCCACCCAAAAGTGGGAGCAGGGAGAACAGAATCGAACCCTGTGTGGGATTCAAGGAGGAAAAGTCCCCTCAGAACCTCCAAGCAGAGGATGGGGGTGGGAAGATGAAGTTGTGAATCTGTAATTACGACGTGACGACGAGTCCGGGCAATTCCAGAAGTTGCTCAGAACTTGTTCCTTCTTTTTCTTCTCCCCCCCTCCTTCTTTGGAGCCACTCCCTCCTATCTCTGGGGCATAGATTTTAAAAAAAGAAAGGTTTGGAGGAGAAGTTGGAATGTGCTGGTGGATAATTACAAGCTGCTTCTGGGATTATGGGGGGGGGTTGGGAGATCCAAGCTTGGGTGGTGGTTGGTTGGGTTGGTTTGTTGTTTTTCTTTTTGGAAGGATTGAAGGTTTCATCCCTTTGGTCTCTCCCAGGGAGGGTATTTTTTTTGGGGGGGGGAGGTGAGAACGTTGGGGGAGGATTTCCCAGAGTTTGTGGCACGAGGAAGTGGGAGACAAGCAGCTCGGGCATGATTGCCCTCCAAAAAAAGCACAAATCCATGATTTGTAGGCACTTGAGGTTCTCCAAGTGGAGCTTCTCAACCTTGAGAGCTTCTGGGGTTCAACCAGAGCCAGGAGGTTGAGGATGGAACCTCAGAGAGGGTGGAACCTCAAAAAGGAGCAGATTCATGGTCAAAAACAAGGCACAAATCCATGATTTGCAGGCACTTGAGGTTCTCCAAATGGAGCTTCTCAACCTTGAGAGCTTCTCAGGTTCAACCAGAGCCAGGAGGTTGAGGGTGGAACCTCAGAGAGGACCAGATTCATGGCCAAGTTTTTTGAGGACCCTTTTCCAGCTGCTCCCAGAGCTCCAGTGTCCTCAGGAGAGAAGTGGGAGGTCCCTCCTTAGGACACTGGAGCTCTGGAAAGGTGGGAGCAGCTTAGAAGAAGCACCTTCCAACTAATGGTTGTTGATAGAACATGGAGTTTTGCTGCTGCTCTTCCAAATTCCTGCAGGTTTAGCCCAAAAAAGCAACTGGTTGTTTTGGTTTTTTTCTGGGGTTTAACTTGTTTTTCAATTTTTTTTTTCCCCTTTTCTTTCCCTTTTCCCCCCTTTTCTTCCCCTGTTGTCTCTTCTTTTCCCCCCTTGCCCTGCCCCTTTTCCTGCCCCCCCT